GGTTTGGTTCCGCCCCTTTCCCAGGTTCCCTTGAGAACAGCATGCCCAGAAAGGGCTGCTCCCTCGGCCTGGGCCTTGGAGTAGGAAGACATTCTAACTAAGCCCGGTCCACTGATTCCGGCCACGTCCCAGCTGACCGGCGGCAACGCCGCCCTAAATGTTCGCTGCTGTGAGCTGTTCCGATTTGGGAGTTGCTTGTGGCTGCATCAAAGTGCTGAATAACATCCCTGTTTGGGTTTCTAAGGAGTATGGGGGCCTACTCTGTGCCAAAGGTGGTGCTGGGAGTTTCACATAATTTCAGTGATCACCACAACCCTCTCATTTGAAAGCCAAAGACATTAAGGTAAAATATTAAGCTAGTGGTCAAAGGTCAGTTGGAGCCCAATCCCTGTCTCCCGCTGCCTCTCAGGCGGCCTCCAGGTGAGCCACACGCATGGAGGGGGAGGGCAGGACCCCAAGCTGAAAGGCAACAGCCCTGCGGGGCCCCGATGCCACGGACAGCACGGAGGCTGGAGGCGCCTGCTCTGGGGCCCTCCTTGTCCCCTGGCCCATGGAGAACCCTATCATCCAAAATGTCCTCTTTCCTTTTCAAAGAGCCAAATTATCTGGAAGACTAAGATCCTGAGGGTACCTGAGGGTACAGATGCCGCAGCCACACCTGTGGGGCTCGTGGGCACACACGCCAGCCCGTCCCCAGGGGCTCTGCCACGCAGCAGCGCCTCCGCCGCGGGCCCCCTCTGCTCTCCGTGCTGCGGCCCCTCCTTTTCTTCACCTTTCAAGAATTAACCTGAAATGCCGAATGCTGTTCTTCCTCACTGTCCTGGCACGTTTCCCTGGGTGCCCTGGACCCCGAGCCTCACTCCCCAAGGCCCAGAGCAGACACCAGGGGTGCCCTGTGTCCTTTGGGTCCAGGCACATGAAACAAGCCTCATTAAGCCGGTGACACCGTTTCACATCCTTCTCATCAATGAGCTATCCCGGCCTCAGGGGGGGCACCTCTGAGCCTTGGTTTTCTCAAGCGCTGGGGCTGACGCCAGCCATGCCCTCTCGGAGGGACCAGAGGGATAATGAACCTGCGAGCCAGTTAGCAGAGAAAAGCGCTAGGGCACATGAATGCGAGAGAACAACCGCCACCTCGGACCTTCCTTTGTAGTCCTGACCCGGGACAAAGAGGCAAAGAGCTAACGTGGGTGGAAGGATGAAGAGGTGAGTCCAGGAAGAGAACGTTAGATGAGAAGGGCGTTCTAGGCCACGCCGGTCAGAGTCCTGCCTGGGCCACAGCGTGCCCCGCTCACTGCTCCAGTCCTGCACCCCAGCACGTTCCACCGTTCCCCCTGACCCCACTCTGCCCGCCAAGCACTGGGAGCTACCCTGCCTGTCCCTCTGAGACCTAACCAGAGCTCTCTTTCCCCAGCTGGCGGTTCTCCTGCCAGTCACTCCCGGCCAAAGACTCACGGGGGAGTCATAAGGAAGACGGACCTGTGGCTCTGATTTCTAACTCCCCGCAAGTTGGAGAAAGGGTCAGAACCAGACTCTTAGATCTGAAAGGGACCTCAGAAACCATATCATTCAGCAGATTCTAAGACCCCGATCCCATGGCTGGCCGTTCATCTGTCGATGAGATGAGGGCAGAGCGTCAGCTCCCAGCCAGGGTCCCTCCCACTGAGCAAGCCCTGGCACAGGCACTGAACACTGGACGGGCACGGAGGATGGCACGGAGGACCGGCACCAGCACGCTCCCGCCCGCGGTGAGACCCACGGCTGCTCCCGGTCTGTGCACCCTGGCCTGCTGCAATCATGGGAGCCTAGAACCTGAGAAGGCAGGGGAGACAGAAATATGTCCCTCTCCGTCCAGAGAGAAGCATAGGCTGGGGGGGAGGGGGGAGCTGTGGGGAGAGTGGAAGGAAGGTGCTCCTGTCTCCCAGGGGACAGGAGCCCAGAGCGAGGAGAGAGGTGAAAAGGCAGGACAGGAAGGTGCTCATGGAAGGGAGGGGTCAGCCGTCTCTCAAAGCGGCCCGTCCTCCAAGCCACACACACTTGACCTCTCCACACCCAGGCCTGTCCTCCACGGTCACCAGGCATCCACCCGAATGCCAACCAGACCAGGCAGCAACCTGGAGACCGCCCTTCCGGCTCAGGCTGGGCAGGACCCGGGAAGCCCAGGGCACCTGGTGCAGGCCCACTGCTTCCGTCATCCCACCGCTGTGGGCCACTTCCAGGCTGAGCTCCGAGGCAGGGGCTGTGCTGTCCCTACACGCGCCTGGTCATGACAGAGCTCAGCGCCGACGGTGGGCACAAATGTCTCACCTGGGCATCGCCTCCTCTGCGGCCACCTCAGAGCTGCTCTGCCCAACCCTGGGTTCGGGCTGGACATGTCTCCCCCACGCTCCATCACACGTGTGCTCTCTCCATATCAAAACGCCCCAAAGACTCAGGCTGCAGGAGAGGACCCCAGGCCGGCCACACCACCCACACCCACACCCACACCCACACCCACACCCACACCCACACCCACACCCACACCCACACTTGGGAACAAAGAGCGAAGCCTCTGGGCTTCCCGCCCCGTGGCACCTGTTGCTGCAGCCACAGGCCTGAGCATTTTGTTTTGTTTGAAACAAGGACAACAACAGAACACAAGCTATGACAGGAAGCGACATTCCAGCGACAATAAGCAACCACCAGGCTGATCTACAGCTGTGCGAATCCAGAAAGAAAGACAGCAAGGAGCTGCCGGAGCCCAGCAACACAGTGGCGTGCTGATTAGAAATTGCTCAGCCTGCGTTACAAGGCAGAAGCGGGGGAGGGGAGCGGAGGGGAGGGAGAGAAAGAGGGGGAGAGAGGGGCGTGGGGGAGAGGACACTGAGTGTTTTTTCCTGGCGCTCTGACTCATTTCTAATCTGTCCTCTCCTCCTTTCCTCCCGCCCTCCCACCACCCCCTCAAGAAAGAATCCATTGATGGGGCGGACAGCACTGTCTCACCTCTCCTCCCGGGCTTCCTTGTGAAGGAGGAGTCTGGATCCGCGTCCCCATCACTGCTCTGCTCTCCCCCCTCCCTCCCCCTCCGCCATTGTCGCCTCCAGCTCAGGGTGACAGCAGCTTGTCAGGCCCTGGAGGGCGAGGCCGGAGTGAGGCTGGATCAGGGGGGCCAGCAGGTGCCCAGCGGACCCAAGGAGCCAGCTCCACCTGCAGAGCACAGAGGCCCAGCTCAGCCAGCGAGGGCCCTGCTCACTAACCTGTTGCCTGCTTCCGGGCAAGGGCAGCCTCTGGGTGCAGAAGGAAGGAGGCGCGGGCACAGCAGCCCACCCTGCCCAGCACAGACAAAACCAAACCCTGCAATGAAGACCTCACAGGCAGCTCAGGAGGGGGCAGCCCATGGCGCTGGTCTGAGAGCATTGGGCTCGTCTCTGCTCCATCACACATCTGCTGGCGCTTGTCCTGCCTGTGGGCCTTTCTGTCATGGCCGAGGCTGCCCGGGTCCCTGGCTGCCCGGGTCCCTGGCTGCCCGGGTCCCTGGCTGCCTGGGTCCCTGCCAGCGATTTGATTCCACTGCCACAGAAGCCGTGAGCCCCCACACTCCACCCCCCGACCAGGGCTGCTCCCTTGCTCCCACTCCCTGCAGGGCCCTGGCTCTCTGTCTCAGGGACCCTCCCAGGCGCCCCGCTGACTTCAGGGAGGGTGCGATGCAGGCTCAGGGCCGAAGTTCCCGGGACAAGATAACAGAGAAGAGGAGGCAAACTGAGGACGTTGAGGATCAGCGAGGGGGAGGTGGCAGGCCCCGGCAGGCCAGGGGAGGGGGAGGCAGGATCAGCCAAACCCTGAAATTACAGATGATTCACATCTGAGCAGTGTGGGAGGGAGACACTCAGCGCAGGCAGCAGAGGCTAAACAGCGGGTGCCCCGCCGGGACCATGGGGCGCGGGAGCCTGTGAGGGCCCTCCCCGGGGAACAGGACGAAGCCCAGGAGTCAGGACTCTTACTCGGAAGCAGCGGGGGCAGGGGTTGCCTTTCTTAAGTGTATTTCACCTTCTCGCCTACTTGCCATACTGAGTTACATGTGCTCCCCTTTCCCGCGGACTTGATTCTCCCAAGCCCTCTGGTTGGCGCCCCTTGAGGGGACCAGACTTCATTTTGGGGTGCTCCTTTGCATTTTCTCTTCTGCCTCTCCCTCATTCTATCCTCATGGCCTTTCTGATCCCTGTCTCTTTCCTCCATCTCTCGGTCTCCACAGTCATGGCCTCAGACCTGTCCAATCCCAACCTTCCGAGCACCCTGCCCGAGCAGGGCTCCTGCGTGACTCCGGGCTGGCCCCCCCGCCTGGCTACCTGCCCCTCAAACACACAGAGACATGGGGGCGGGGTGTAAAGTGTCAGAAACAAAGCCTTTGCAGACCCCAGGGAGGTGGGAGAAGTTCAGGGAAAGGAAGGGAAGCCTGGAGGCCACCTGGAGGAAGTGGCACGCTGGGAGAAGCCCTACCTTCTGAGCATCTTTGCTGATTATCTTTCCTGGGGGGAGAGGAAGGGTCCTCTCTCAGGGTGGGACCACTCCCCAGAAGGCCCAAGAGACCGCAGGGTCCTAAATGCCACGACCAATGGAACCCCCACCCACCTTCCTCCTCACCCCCTGCCTGAAGGGTCCCCGCTTCTCCAGGGAAGGAATTAAGGAGACACTCCTCCACCCCCACCCCCACCCCCAGAACGCCAGTTTCCCTAATTAATCAGCCTCCTCGGAGCTTCCCGTTTCGTCCCGCCAGGCTTCCCCCGGCATCGCACTCGGGTGCCACGGGCAGAAGGCTGTCTGGGAGGGGGACGCAGGCTCCACAGAACCATCTCGTCACGAGCGGGTCAGACACCTGCCTCTCCGGCGGCTCCCCCACCCCGCCGCCCAGCACGCAGGCCCTCCCCCCGCACCAGCCTGCTCCCGGCTCAGCGCAGGCGGGGGCGTGGGGGGGACGGAGGCCCCCCACCGCGGGAATATATATCCATAAAGTTCCCGCTTACCTGTCAGCCCGAGGAGAGCCAGCCACGCCAGCGCGACCCTGTCCATCTCCCCAACTTCCCATCCGGGGGGCGAGCGGGCGAGCCCAGTGCGGAGCGGCGCGCGGGATCCGCCTGCGCGACGGAGGCAGAAGCGGCGGCGGCGGCGGGCGGGGTCCGCGTCCCCGGGGCCTCCGCGGGCGGACGGCGGCGGCCAGGCGCGCTGCCGCTGGGCTCCGCTCCGCTCCGCTCCGGCGGCGATCCCGCCCCGCAGCGCCGCCCGCCGCCCGCCCCGCGGCTCCAAAGTTTCTGGGTCACGTGCCGGCCCCGCGGGCAGCACCCGGCGGCCAAGTGCCCTGGAGCCCGGAGGGCGCGGGCCGCGGAGCGAACCGGAGCCGCGGGAGGGGACGGAGCAGGGGCGGCTGTGCGGGCGCGTGGCCCCTGCTGACCTGCCTGCGAGAGAGGGACGCAGCCTCCGGCCAGGGCGGACCCGCCAGGACTTGGGGCGGCTGATCAGCAGGTCCCCTGGGCGACTTTCTGACGCGGTCGCTTTCTGACGCGCAGTGAACCAAGGGGCTCCGCAGAATTAGGAAAGGTGGACCGAATCCCGCGCCCTAACTTCCTCCGGTTAAAACATCACTCAGGGCACGCAGCTCCTCACCAGCGATTGTCAAACGGGAATGAAATAAACAACATGTGGGCTTTCATTTGTCCCAGCATTCACCTCTTCTCAGCCTTTGGGCTAAGATCAGGCACTTCGTAGTATGCAGGATACATTCACACGCTTACTTCCATGTTGTAAACAGACCTGTGCCGTGTGTGTGTGTGTGTGTGTGTGTGTGTGTGTGTGTGTGTGTTGAGAGACAACGCAGAAATGTATGTTCCTAAAGATAACTAAGCATGTACCAGGCGCTAAGGACCTGGGCTAAGAGGATGAGCGAGACAGACCTCCTGCCGTCAAGGGCCCACCCTGGTCCTTTAAACACATCACTCATTGGTAGGAACGCAGGGCAGATGCGATCCTGGAGATCTGGAGAAAGTGCCCCGGGAACAGAAGGATGACTGTGTGTGAAATGCGGATGAGATCTGAGCGTCCGAAGAGGTGAGCATCCACTCTGCACAGTGGTCTTGTCCGGCTGCCTGACCTCTGAATGAATGCCCTGAGCTTTGAGGAATGCCAACTGTGGAAGCCAAACGTCTAGAACCATCCCCGAGCACTGCAGCCGGAGGACAGCCGGCCCCTGCTGGCCTCAGCCCGCTCTCTGAGCTTTTCGAGTTCCAGAGCAAGCAATGCCAGAAGCAGAGTGGGCAGGGAATTGGTTTTGCCTCGAGGGGCAGCGCATCCGGGGCTCAGGGCAGCGGTGGGAGGTCAGTCTGGCCGTGGTCTTGGGTGAGCTTCTCGGTTCCAGCCCACCTTCCGCAGCTGGCTCCTCAGACTCCTGGCAGCTCTGCGAGCTCCCCCCGCTCCCATCAACCCCCTCTCCGCTGGTTCAGGCCAGAGATGGTGCCTGATGCTGGCAATTAAGAGCCTGACTAATATGCCCTGTGAGAGACATGGGGAGCCTGTTTCCTTTCAGATACGAAAAGATAAAATGGAAATAGAACATAAAACTAAAAGAATTACCTAACACTTGGGGGTTTCCTATCGGGTTCCCCACACAGTGCTAGATGCTTCACCAGCGTTCATTTTTCATTCCAATGAGGAAACTCAGGCCCAGCCACCGGAACTAACCCTGGTAAGGCCACGTAAGTAGGAAGCACAGAGGTAGGATTTGAACTGGGGCCTTTAAACTCTGAAGCAAATGCCCTTTGCGTCATAAAAGGCACCTCTAGACCAGGGGTTGATAGGGTGCTGTATCGGTATTGTGCCCTGCCATTTCCTGTGTGTGTATGTGTGTGTGTGTATGTGTGCCGTGTACACAGTGCACAAGTCTTTAGGATCTAAGCATACACAACAATGATACTTTATACAAAACTTGGCCTAAGAGCTGGGAAATGGAGGACTGGCTGTGCAGGGGAGTGGGCAGTGATGCCACAGGAGATGAGAGCTGTGACACTGCTCGGAGGGTGTGCCTGTGTGGTGGTCACGAGGACTCGGAGCTGGGGAAGAGCTGTGCAAGATGGAGTCCCGGAGCCAGGGCCTGCCCACTGTCAGCTTTGTCCCTGCAGAGCACCCGGTGTCTGCCAGGGAGGAGGTGCCGTGGGTCTGCCTGCCTCTCCCGAGTGGCTGCACCCACTGAGTCTCAGTGCGAGCCCCTCTCAGTGCACATGCTGTTGCCAAGGCTGGGGAGTGCTAAGGGGAACGTGCAGAATCCATCTGATGGTCCAAGCAATGAAGACCGGAGGGGAGACGGCATTCTTTTGTTGCATTGGTGGTGATGCTGGGTGACACCAGAATCAGGGTGCTCTTCCAAGTGTGGTTTTTGAACTTTTAGCATCAGAATCGCACCAGTGGTTGCCCCAAAGGCAGATTCCCAGGCTTCGCTAGGAGCAATGAGATCAGAAGCTCTGGGTGTGCCCTGGAGATGTGCATTTTAACTGCCTTCCCCAAGTGCTTCTGAAACCCAAGGGAACATAGGACCGCTCCAAGCAGAGGTTAATCTTCATGGCTCAGAGAGAGTCTGGATCCCCAGTCCTTCAGACTTCATGCTGCAACCAGAGAGACAGGTCGGGGCACAGGCCTGTGTGGGACCAGAGCGGACCCAGGAAGCCCCTGTGACGCGTGGGTGCGCGGACTTCCAGGCCTTGCCATCAGAGCGGTGTTTTAGAACAGAATTAGGATGTGGAGAAAAGAGAAGTGAGACCTGCCGGCTGCCGGTAGCAACCACATGGCTATAAATATAACCAGCTGAGCCCTCCCAAACATGGCGTCATTGCAGGCCCCGGCGTGCAAGCACATGAATCGCTTACTCTGGTGTTCTTAAAGCACACAGGTAACATGGCCTTCCCTCTTCTCTTCTGTGACCCCGACTCCAACCCAGATACCCTGTTTCTCCCCCCTGCTTTCTGCACCATTGAGAAAGGTTTACTGAGGTGCCGGCTGGGTAGCTCAGTTGGTTAGAGGGTTGTCCCAATACACCACGGTTATGGGTTTGATCCTGGTCAGGGCACATATAAGAATCAACCAATTAGTGCATGAATAACTGGAACAAAACAAAAAAATCCATGTCTCTCTCTCAATTTTAAAGAGATTAATTCACATATCATGCAATTCACCGATTAAAAGTGTACCATTCAATGGTTTTAAATACGTTTAGAATTTCTGTACCATGTTATTTTTTTAAGTTTCTTATCTAAGTTTTGTTAATCTTCCTTTCCCTTGTGCTATCTGTTAGGTTTGTTATCTTTCCCATTCCCTGTATCTTCAAAACCACCTTAAACAAAGTGTAAGTTTTAAAACATTTAAATTAAAGCAAGAAACTGAACAACAACAACAAAATATCGAGACTCTGGGCACCTTTGCTGAGAACGGGAGCCATTTTCAACCTGGAAGCCTGTTCCTATCGGGGAACAAGCAGCTCCATTAAGAAAATGCCTGCAGAAAGGAAATGCAAATGGAAGTATAGGATGCCAAACGTTTTCCAGGCTGTCCTGCCAAGAGCAGTGGGAAGTGTATAATAAGTAAGAGATTGGAGACTGTGCTGAAAATTCCACGTCTCCAAGCAGATTTGAAGTACCTGCTGTCTCAGGCTTCAGATCAAGCTGCGGTGGCACTGAGTGCGGAATTCGTGGTCCCTGCTTATCCGCCTGGAGGCCACACCCCCATGGGGGCAGCCTCCCTCTCCCAAGCTCTCTGATCATGCTGTCCCCACAGCGGTCCAGTCAAGGAGACTGTGCAGAAAACAGAGCATAAAATTGTAGAAGAACATCAAATTCTGTTCAGACAGTGGTCTCCATGGTGGGAGATGCATTTTAAAGTGGCAACGGGAACAATGGAAGAGTGGCAGTGGTTATGCTGGAGAGGGTTGCAGTTCCCTCATATTTTCTCTGATTTTTCTATGATGCAGGAAAAGGTGCTGGACAGAGGCTGTCACAGTGTGCTCTGGGACACCCCTGGAGGCAGGAGCGAGGGCAACAGGTGTTTTGTCAGGCCCGTATCTCCAGCCGGACACAAAGCCAGTGCACACCTGCTCTCGTCTGCCTTGATCGTCAGCAGTCATCAAGTTCCTTCTGCGCAGTTGTAGCCCTGGGTGTCCTGACTGCCTGGTGGCTCAGCCTGTCATTCCACTGTGAGTTACAGGGCCAGAGAGGAGTAAGCCTGCCTCTCTGTTAGGAGCCCCGTCTGCAAGTTTTGCTTTTGTGTCTGTTTTCGTTTCAACTTAGCATCCTTTGGGGACCAGAACAGCACTGACAGCCTCCAAATGAGCAAGAGAGCAGATTCCAGGAGTCAAACCCCATCCTTCGGCCCAGAGGGGAAAGGTGAACAGTGGTCTGTCTTCCTGGATGTCGTCAGGGCCTGAGCTGCGAGGGGAGTGATTCAGCCAGAAGATTGCATCTCAGCCCCAAGCATTCTCCTCGAGGCCTCCGGCCGGCACAGGTCAAAGACAAAAGTGAGCCAGAGCAAGCACGTCATCCGATGACCTCACCCCCAGAAAATGGGCCAGGACTCAAAGCATCAGAAAGGAAGCAGCTCAAGCAGGAGAAGGGTCTGGTGGGTTCAGCCGTTGTGCTGGAACCGTGGGGCAAGGCTCTCACCAGCTAATTCTGTACCCCGACCCCAGTTCTGAGTGGTGCCTGCCCCACAGAGATGGTCTGTAGAGATTTGTCTAATGAATTACAAACTGTTCAAGGAATTATATAAAGGGTATTCTTCTTGCTTTTTCCTCACCATCTCTTCTGTCTTCCCCGAATTCTTCATTCTATTCATATTTAGTGAACACCTACTATCGTCAGGAACTATGCTGTCTAGAAATTCAAGATGAATAGGAATTTAAAGATGAGTAAGTCACAGCGCGTACGGTTGAGTGGCAGCCACGCGTGTGAGGGTGGAGGAGAGACAGGCGTGTGGTCTTCAAATGTGACAATGGAGCAGGGTCACCTTAGGACATGCACCAGGAATGGTCAGGGAGCACAGGAAAGGGGGCAGTTACCCATCAGGAATGCTGGTCAGAGATGTCTTCATGAAAATGTGGCCACTGAGCTAAGTTTTCATCATGGTCGGGGCAGAATTTCTAACAGCAGAAATGGACCAGAGGTGGCGCAGATGCGCAGGCAGCAGGCAGCAGGCAGCAGGCAGCAGCAGAGGTGAGCAAGGTCTCTGCGG